TCCATTTTAACCCCATGGTGGTTTGGCCACAGAACTTGGGACTGTACTCCAAGAATGACAAAAAGAAGTTTTGCTCATGGAGAGGATCTGTGTTTCTGAAATGGTTCTTGCCGACTAGAGCTTGTCATTGGACCATCTGGCCGCCACACACCAGGTCCCCCTCCTGAGTCATCTCAAAGTTTGGCTTCCATTATCCTCCTATAATGATGCAGGTCATGTTCCTCTTATGTGTGTGAACATGTGAGTGCCTATGGCAAATGTCCCTTTTCCTGTTTTTGTTTCCAGTTATTTTTAATATATATTTTTTCCTCTCAATTGCAAGAGTTCTATTAAATCCATCAATGCTGTATTTTACTACTATGAAAAGTATTGTGCCATCCACACAACAATAGATTTAATTGGGTTTTTCCTTTTCCCAGATGCTATATTAAACTGTAAGTAATAATTGTCCTAGAACCAAGTTCGGGGAAATTTTTTATTGTTGAAAGAGGTAGTCTCTACCTTTAGTTTGCTCTGCCTAAAACAATTACATATCTATAATTACATATCTAAAAATGCAGGGTTTTCCCAATTCTTTAGTTTAAATATATGTATTAAATATATATTATTAAATATACATATATAATATATATAGCATACATTTATATAAACAAGGGAATTGATATATATGTATGTATATACACAAATATTTATGTATTATCATATGTACACACACAAATCTATATACACATACACACATACATAATTACATACATATTTAAAAGATTTTTTCAGTTAAAATTTAGAAGCTATAGAATTAGGGGGGCAGCACTGACAGGAAAAAAAATCCCTCAAACAAACTCTTAATCTCAGGATCTCTTCTACCCACTGATATCAAGCAATTTTGCAGAAGCATCCTTGCAACAAAATTACCAAATTACAGTATGCTAGCTTGCTAAGGATCAAATATAGATAGATTATGAGATTCTGGATTTTAAATCTACCTTCAAGTTTTCCGTTATTGAAAAGAGAACTTGCAAAAAATTATTTTTACCACTAAGAAATTTAAAAAGTCATGGAGTGAGATTTTCTTTCAATGGAGACATCTTTGTGAACTGTGTTTTACAGTGTCTCAGAAGCCTCAAGTCTTAGCCACCCTGAAATTCAGGAATCTTCAGAAGCCATTAAGCTATGGATACTGACAATGATTTATTTATATTTAATGATGTTAAGTAGAAAGAGCTGTTGTTACTTTACTAATTTGAAGATGATTATGATGGAAAAAAAGATAGGACCACAATGTATTACTAAATGAATTAAAAAATAAAAACCCAGACACAAATTTTCAAACAGGTCATTAAAGAAAGATGGATATATTCATAATATTATCTTTGAATTCCAGGAGTATCATTTTGATTGTTGGTTTCATAAGCAGTATATTTCATTGAGTAGAAAAGAAAACATTGGTAAATTAGGCGAATTCAAGTTTATATAATCTTCTAGTGTTAGAGGATTTCTAAGTACTTGATTAGAAGATAATACTTTGTCCCTTATCTTATCTTTTATCATGCCTTTCTCCTTTCCTCCTTTCTGGAGTTTCCTTTCCCAGCACCCTCCCCACCCCCCCATCCCCCCACACACAACATACCTTCCACCTGGCAAACTACTAATCAACCTTCAGAAAGTAGCTCAAATGTCACATTCTTTTTTTAGTTTTTTATTGGGGAACAGTGTGTTTTTCCAGGACCCATCAGCTCTAAGTCAAGCAGTTGTTTCAATCTGTTAGTTATGGAGGGTGCAGCTCAGTGGCCCATGAGGGGATCGAACTGACCACCTTGGTGTTATGAGCACTGCACTCCAACCAACTGAGCTAACTGGCCACCCCCACACATGTCATGTTCTTTGACTTCTCTTCAGAGCAGTGAAATTGCCTAGTGCTTACATGGTAGACATTCATAGGTTGAATGCTGTCATTGTTTACATTAAATCCTTAGACAGTAGCAATTAATTTCCAGGCTTGAGGGTGAGAAATTATAGCAGAGATCGGGGTAAAGTTTATATGTGCATGTGTGCATGCGTATTATTAATAGCATTTTCCACCTAATACTTGAAAGTGATGCTACTGAAAGTGAGTTCAAGGACCAGCAGCACTGATATGAGCACCTTCTGGGAGCCTGTTAGAAACATAGAATCTTGAGCCCCTCCCTAGACCTACAGAATCGAAGTCTACATTTGAACCAGATCTCCAAGTGGTTAGTGTGCACACTAAAGTTTGAGAAACACAGATTTGATTATGACTGGTCCTTAACAGAAGAAGGAATACACCTTACTTTTAAACATGAAGCCTCTAAGTAATGAGATGATTTCAGTACCACAGAAATATTATATTGTCTACAATTTCCTTATTGCAGTATTATGGTGCCAATTAATTTTGTTTAGTCTCCTTTTACAGTAGTTAAAATA